AATTATATCGCTCTTTTCCCGACGCGCCCAGTGATTAAATTGAAAATGTAAAACTTACTATTAAACTAGAAAAAGCTACACCAGTTAGCTCAGTGATGCAAAGGTACAATTAAAAGAAAATAGCTAAAATGCTATTGACGAGCTGTGACTTAAATTGTAAATGCAAAACATACTATTAAACAACAAAAAATTAATACATGAAAGCCTAGTTAGGCAAATGTACCATAAAATAAATAGCTTAAAAAGCTTATTAGTCTAAAAATTACACAATTTTAAGGGAAAACCCTCTAATTAGAAAATTGTAAACTTTTAAGAAGAACTAAAAAAGACATAAAAAATTCGTACTAAATTATTATTCATAATTTTATCTACTAATCTAATAATAATTTTTTATTCCTAATTGACTTTTAACTACTTTAATTAATTTTAAATCTAGTCATTTACTCGCTATTTTCTCAAAATTTCACTGTTTAATTTTTTTTTTTTTTTTTTTTTTTTTTTGTGATTCACAGTATTTGATTTTACTTTTGGTTTTGAATTTTATTTTTACTCTTGCCTATATGGATGACGAAACACGAATAGAGTAATTAAAGAATTAGGTTTGGGGACAACTACCCCTTGGATAAGTCTGTCTCCTGCCTGCTCAACAATTATTCACTTATGCAATTTTTAGGAATAATGAATTTAATTTTTGGAGTAATATATTTTTTCATGGTTTCAGATAAGTGCAATTAATTTACATATGCTCTTAAAATATAAATGATATTGTAAATTAATTCGCAGCAATAATAATTATTTTTATTTTTATTTCATTGCAATTAAAATTTTTAATTAAATTTTATTTGCTTTCTCCACGAATAGAGAATATTAGTTAAATTCAAATTTCATTCCTTGCAGCAATGGCGCAAGAGAATTATTTAAATTTAATTTAAATTTACTATTCTTGTGAAACAATTATATATATATGGTAAGGATCTTTAGTTTACTAACGTTTATTTTATTTTAAAACTGCAAATTGTACTTGCTAACGCCCAAGTATTCAAGATGTGGCTTTTCGCCAAGAGCAGAGTTAGACAGAGAGAAAGTGAGCCGCCTTGCCACTGTATTACACGCGAGTTTCCAATCAGCTGCTGTCCGCCTTTAAGGACAGATATTTAGTACTCTTGATATTTAAAACGTATTGTAGTTTCGGCAGTTTCCGTAATAACATACGTAATAATTTAAAAGACCAGTCGTAGCGTAATCAGTTGTGTAAAGCACTCGCAGTTAACTCTTATTTTTAGTTAGTTAATAGTTTTTATATTTTTAAGCTCAGACCATAAGTGGTTGGTCTCTGTATCCCGAAGTGAGGGAACACCTGTAATATCGTGGACAATAAAGGGTACAGTTAACCCTTCCTGCTTGTGTCGTCAATTCCACACCTATTTGAACATAGCTTGAGTAAGATCCCTGTTCCTATTCAGGATAGGTCATATTCCCGAAACAAATCAAAAGACATTCAAGTCCTGATAGTGGCGCCCGAACTAAAAGGGTGTTGGATGAGGATTCTCAGCAATCAGGATTTGGCGATTGGGTCCCATAAAAACCCCAGTCGCTCTTTAAAAAGAGGAGTATATAAGGTATTTCTCTCACCTTCTTGTCGTGCCTTCGTGGTGTAGTGGTTCTGCACACTGCGCCGGTATTCCAGAGGTCCGTGGGTCGATTGCCGGCGAAGGCGACTGCTAATTTTTCATCTCGGCCTGCTTCTAAAAATACCTAATGTCTTTACAGTGGTGCCCGAACTAAAAGGGTGCTGGATGAGGATTCTCCACATCCAGGATTTGGCGACTGGGTCCCCTAAAAACCCCAGTCGCACTTTAAAAAGGGAAGTATATAAGGCATTTCTTCCACTTTCCGAGCGTGCCTTCTCGTGTAGTGGTCAGCACACTGAGCCGGTACTTCAGAGGTCAGTGGTTCGATTCTCGGCGAAGGCGTGGCTAATTTTTCATCTTTTTTTTTATTTATGAGCCTTTCGAATCGCAAATGTACAGATTTTAGATAACAGAAAAGCATTTCAATTTATGTAATAAATCACATTAATATATTTAATGTCTTACTTTTATTAATTCTAAAATTTATCTTTTATTAAGGCATCTTTTTAATAGGAAACATATTACTCCCTATGGTTATGTTCGTTCATGGTATTTTATTTAGGTAAAACTTGTTCCCTCTTCCCTGAGATAAAAAAATGACGGGAACAGGGATTTTTCGTAGCTTCATTTATAAAATAAATAGTTGTGTAGTTCATCGTAACTTCCATTTAATAAAAAGTTTGCCTTACGCTTTGTCTCAAGTTGTTGATTTAAGCATCCTCCCGCCCCCATTGTTCCCCCGCATATTTCTAAATAACATTATCATAACTCAGAGCTGTTCGTAACACAGGTCAGTATCACTATTTTAATCAATTTAATGTTTTGGTATACACTGGTTTTTCTCTGTTAAACAAACCGTTCCTACACCCTTTGTTTAAACTTTGTCCAAACATTTTTTAGTTGGCAACGCACTTAAGGATTTAGCATTTTGTCCCGGCATTCATGTTCAAAGAAGTGCTGTACAAGGTTTGTGCTTTATAACCTGCTTGAGCATGAGAAGAATTTTGGATCCACAAGTATTTCGCTATATTTTCTTCCGCAAAGTATTTTGTAAACCATTCACTGAGCTTGCTTCGAAAGGTGTTCCGTGAGAAGAGGCAGCAATTTTTGACAGACAACGAGCTCATTAGAGGACGCGTATTTATGCAATTTGGGGAAGAAATCTTGATCACCATCTTCAGTAACTTTTCTTAACCACAACTGCAGTTTTCTTCTAAACTCCACAATTTTCTCCAATAGTTTCAATATGTGCATATTATTGCCTTGTATAAAAATATTCAAGGCATTCAGTTTGTCAAGTATATTGCACAAACACGCCAGTTTTAGTTTAAAGTCTGGTTCGGCAAAAAAAAAAAAAAAAAAAAAAAAAAAAAAAACTGCTGTTTGCATGTCCTTTCCTTGCAGAAAAGTGTGAATTTTTTTATTTAGCTCGAATGCATGGAATAAGACACTTCCACGTGAAAGCCATCGTGAACTGCAGTAATATAGCAGGGCTGTGTGTATGGCTGTCATGTTCATTCAAAGCCTTTGAATAGTTTGGCATTCGGCTGCCTAGGATTTATGTAGTTTACTACATCTATGATACGTTCCAATACCAAATTCAATGCACAGCTCATCGACTTCGATGCAAGTGCTTACCTATGGAGGATGCAACGGGTCCACATAGTATGGGGTGCTTTACTGCGAATAAGCGTTTGCAGTTCTTGATACCTGCTAGACATTGATCGAACGCCGTCAGAACACACAACGATACAATCTTTCCAATCTAAATTATTTCCTGTTATAAAATTGTCAAGAATTTCAAATACGCTTTCAGCCTTTGTGCCTTCATTGACGCTTTGACAGAAAAGAATGTCTTCAACAATTGTATTGTCATCTAGAAAATGTACCTAGCAAGTAAGGTATGCATCTTTATTACTGTTAGTAGCCTCACCAAGTTGTGGACCAAATTCCTTGCCTTTCATTATCCGTATTAATTGATCATTGAGATTCTCCTCTATATGACGGATTCTTACATTAGTAGTATTGTTAGATAAAGCTACCTTTGTATTTAGATTTCCCGCCGATTATTTTACCATAAAATCAAACATATTGAGAGCAGCCGATAAAATACGTTCTGCGTGGTGTGAGGTTTCTTGCACTTCGCCACCTCGAATGCCACCTTAAAAGATGTTAGCAGTACGTTGCTAAAGCTTGTTGAGTGAACAGGTTTCTTTTTTATTTTTGTTTTTGTAAATTTTGCTACTTCCTACTAAAATATTCGCGCTATTTTTCAACCATGGTAAAATGAATGGTCTCCAGATGTCGTTTTAGCTCACTTGGAAGCATACTTTCGAACGATAGAATTTTCAAACGGAGCACACATTGCGGTCATTCGTCGTTACTTACTTCTACCCAAGCCAAAGTCCGAATAGCTATCTATCATCGTATTTCGATATTTCCACCGTTTTGCTTGTCGAGGCTTGATCACTCTGACTTGAACTTTATTTAAATATCTTTCCATTTTGTTACTAATCTTTTAAGAAAATGGTAAACATCAAAATTAAAACAAAGCAACCGAACTGCTCACATAAAAGTATGCTTAAATAGATATAATACCGTTTTCCTGTCCTGCGTTCGTAAATCACAGCTCTCTATAGGACACTTTATTACTACTTCTATTTAACTTAAAAATTTAAATGCTTAGGCTCACAATAAACTAACTTGGCAATGCGGTCTACGACGACTTATATACTACCACCAATAGGCGTTCGAGACAATTCCTGTCGAGGCGACCTGCCGGTCGAATGCGGGGTTCTGGAAATCTCTCCCAACGGCTAGAAAATAATTCGGCGTTGCCAAACTCAACCCAAATGCGGTGTTGGTCGGTTTCTTACGCAACGAGCGATTTATGCAGCACACGCGATTTAAATGTAGATTCTATAAAAGAGTAAACAGGAGCGCCTCACGGCGCCGCAGGGCCCCGTGATGCACACTTTGAGAACCCCTGATTTAATCCTTTGACTGCATTGAGCATCATCGACGATTTACAACGGCCTAACTTTTCGGAGACGTGTGTATCGAATGTGATTCATACGTTTTTTATTGTTTGAAGCCATGTGAGTTACCGGCGCTTCACAAGCAGAAAGATTTATACTGTCAAAAGTATTTTTATAGCCTCAGAAAGCGCTCTCAATTCTTCTCGTACTTAAGAAATTGATTTTTAGGATAAATGGGACAATAAAACACTAGAGTTAAAAAATGTCCCGAGAGAGTATTTTATCCTATTTTGCTGTGGTAGTTAACGTGTTAAGTCAGCTCTGATTCTTAATGAAATAAGAAAACATTCTACAATATGATTCTTTTGTGGCAGATATCATATATACTTACGTATAACTTCTGTCTTGTTAGCAACTTTCTTTTCACATTTCACACCTTCATACCCATGAGGGCATTCACACGTTCGGACAGAAGATCCTATGTAATATCTGCAAAAAAGGTAGGAAATGTGTTGCTACACATAATTAGATTTCTGTACATAAGAAAAATAAAAATATGTTATGCAGAGAGAGTTTTACTACACGTTCAGCAGTTTGAGAGCTAATATGGAAATTCAAAAATTAATAGCAGATCTATGGAAAACGAATTTATCATTTTATTACATCTTAAAATAAATGTTTCTTTCGAATCAAGATGCCCTATATTTGCAAAGCAATGGTTACCTTCATAAAATTATGTATCAGTATGGATTTCTTTATTCACATGAGCTTTCACAGTTGCAAATAAAATAATTTGATAGAGATATTTACAATAATCAAAGTAAAAAAATTAAATGCATAGTAGTTATTAAAAAATGCATTTAAAAAGCAGAAATCAACATTCATGTTCATGTTTTAATTTAGGGTCTCTTCGCAAAATAAAAAACCCAGGAAAAGTTTTAAACTGTAAAATCATCTTGCACATACAAAAACGATAAGGTGAAATAGAATATGAATTTACGGTTTATTTTACAGGCGTGGTTATAGATCGTTAAGCAAACCATGTTGCGTTATAGCGGCCAGTAATAGTTAAAATAATGAAGCACGCAGTAAAATAAAATAAAATTAAAAATATATTCAGTTTTAAAAATATTACAAAAGAAAAACGGCTCCGTGGCACTTAGCCGACGAGACACTTGACAGACACCAGTTAGCCGACAGGACATTTAACCGACAAGGACAGTTAGCCGACAGGACATTTAACCGACAAGGACAGTTAGCCGACAGGACATTTAGCCAACAGAGACAATACTAAAAAAGAGGGCGGTAATGAGGACATTTAGCCGAGAGAGAGAGTTAGCCGTCAGGAACATTTAGTTACGGTACATTTAACTGTCAAGACATTTAATCACGTTAAGCCGACTGTGACGTTTATCTGATACGTACCCAACAATTATTTAAACTTTCTATCAATTACAAAATTTCTCGATTTCTCCATAAGTTCAATATTTAGATAATTTTTTCACCTATCAGTAATTTCATTTTTCGATTTAAAACCCATATGTGTTATTAATTAATGTGTAATTTAGCATTGTTTGGTACATATATCATGCTGTTGGGTGTATATTTGCGAAACTGAAAAAGCGTTGAAATTTCTCGTCAGGGAACATGAATTAAGTTTCGAAAGGGAAAAAAAAAAAAGAATTTTTTTTTTAGCTAAACACGACGGTCACTGGTTAGATATTAAAAAAAACGGTTACTCTATTTCCATTAGGCCCAGCAGTGGAGGAGCGGTAAAGTTGCTGAGTACTGGTGGTTAGGTCCGAATTTCGAATCCCGCGAACGGACTCGCTGCATGGGTGTTTCGTGGTTTTCCTCATATGTAACGTGTATACGAGACAGTTTTTCTTAGAAAGTCCTCGACGAAGGTGTCTCTCTCTCCCCTTAGGAAATAACCCTCTGGCTTTGCCGTAATTACACAAACCAAACGAAACCAAACCTACTTCTGTTAGGTGGCCGCAGTCCACGACGCACGAATTCCTGGGCCAGAGCCCTATCCCAGGTTAACACATATACGATGCCTAACGTGCCTAACGTAACAAATTACGATGCATGAGGGTGTAAACAGCATTTAAGAAAAAAATAAGAAGTTCGTGTGTGGTCAGTAGGGCGAATCACTCTACTTCCTGACAGGCAAAGGAAATTTCATTAGTGGGAGCAGCGAAACAACTTTATACGGGAATGAATGTAGCATGTTGTGTTGAACAAAGTAGTAATGAAATGTGAAAGTATAAAAACGTTATCACATATGACTACAGTCCGTGCTAGACGGGACGTTTCTGAGAAACGAGATTCTGGTAGCACTGGTTTAAATGGGAGGATTTCTAGAAAAAAGAGCCCCCTGGAAGTGAAGTCCCGCCTAGCTACAGAAAAATGTTGCGGCTATGCGGGATTTTTTCAAACCTCACCGATAATGTCTCGGGTCCCGGTAGAGACAACCAATCAGACGAAAGTTCTGCTTCTGAAGGATCACGTGATACCAATTTGAGCGATAAACGATTACTGTTTGGCGTTCAAATTTTTGTAGCAAGGGAGAATGGTAACTTAGCTACGTGTGTTTCCTGGAATTGTGCGGGTTCTGAGAATTGTAACTTTCGATGTCAAGTCCCGTGTAGCCGAAACATAATGTGGTTGGGACTTTACAAACCTGAAAGCACGGGGAAGAGCGAGACTCATTGTCAGCTTAATGTCCTGTCGGCTAACTGCCCGTGTCGGCAAAATGTTCTGTCAGCTATGTGCCCATGTCAACTAGATGTCTTGTCAATTAAGTGCGCTTGTCAGCTAACTGTCCTTGTCGACTAACTGTCCTGTAGGCTAACTGTCCATGTCGGCTACGTGTCCGTGTCGGCTAAATGTTCTATCGGCTAACTGGTGTTGATTAAATGTCGCCACAGCTAAGTAATTGTCGGCTGAGTCCGCGACCGAAGGAAAACATTGAATGAGGCCTACGAGCTTTTTTCTTGTTTACAAGTAGTGATATTTCTGGCTGCATTTTGTTCAGTTTAAGCTTTAAAGGTGGCGCGACTGAGAATTTATTTAGAATTTAGATGGAGAAATTGGGAAAATTCCATGGCATACATTAAGCGGCAAATGATAATAAAGAAAATTCTGTATGCCCCAAAAGGGCGTTGTTTTTCATTTTTACTTACATACACGTTTCGAAAGCATTTAGGCTAAAAGTATTTAAAAACAGCATATCTTTTAAATTTCCGATAGACAGTGTCGCGCGTTGAAAATAAAAATATTTTATTCCGTATAGTGTGTTGCTACTCCTCGCTTTGAAATCGTTTGAGTTTTTTAATAAAAAATTCGTTAAATTTTTAAAAATATGAAATAGATAATAAACCAAATTCGAAATTCAAGATTCGGGATTCCAATTGCCCAATTCCGGTGGAGGATTTCGTTATTTAAAAATCGATGGCTCTAGGTATCGTTGTTTTTTCACAATTCGAGAAATATACATACATTCATACAGATTTTTCACTACTTTATTTCTTTAAATATAATGCAGGGCAATAATATTTGTTGGCAACAATAGTACACAATAGTACTGAAAAGTAACACAGTAGTTTATAAGGATTTGAGGCAAAATACCATTTCGAGATTAACAGCCCTTCTGGGTTAAAAATTAATAAATAAATAATAAAAATAAAAGATAAATATGTAAGCAACTAAAAAAGAAAATTTTTTTAAATCTTAATAAATAATAAAATATCCAATTAATGAAGCTCTATTGTAAAACAGATCACTGGCAGTGCTTTCAGTATGGTTTATCATAGGTCATTATGAAAATGAGTTATCATAAGGTATGCGCTAAGCGGCGATATGAGTCAGAAAACGCTATCATGACAGGTTATTACGAAAGATTAGTCTAGCTATTTTAAATATTTGCTAACTTGTGGCAAATATGTAACTAAATTATCAACTTCATCAAATTTGAAAATTTCCATGATGTAAATCAGTTTGCTTTTGAAATAGGTGAATTTCAACTGAAAATCTGTTATAGTTTAAATGTATGGAAGGATCATTAAGAATTACTTTTAAATGGTTCATGTCGCTTCCCTCATAAGCTTAATATCATTGTAAGTACTTTACCTACGGAAGTCCTGTAGCCCTATAATTGAAATACAGTAATCACATTGTTCAGTTTTTGGCAATTAATGCTTAGTCACTTCACAATAGCGCTAAACCCGGATTTTTGTAAACATATATTTTATATGAAGGAATAACGTTCGTATCATCTTACTTTTATGAAAACTTTAATTCCGTAATAGCTATGAGCGATTCGTTCATTGCATCGATTATGATATCTAGTAAAAACATATTCTAGATAAACATATCTAGTAAAAACATATTAACGTAAAAGATTTTCGGTAATAATCTTACCTGCATGTGCCTCCATTGAAACATATTTTCTGCGTGGACGTAGGCCCGCAATAATTATCATATTGGCATTCCTTCCCAAAGTAACCTTCAAAACAATGGCAGTTGTAGGCTTCGAAATTAGATGAAGCATAGCAATATCCAGTAAAAGAACAATGATGGTAAATACAAGGATCCTTCCGTACTCTCTGCTTCTTTGGTATTATTTCATAGGTTATATTGAAACCGAAGGCGTCCATCAGATGTTGTCTCACCCGTAAATGAACATTTTCTAATGTCGTTATTCTCATATCCAACACCAGAAATCTCTTGTTTGTGATTAGATATGTTGGTTCATGAGTAGAACTTATGATACCAAAATCAAATCTCCTTATTCCGATCTTTAGGTCCCTGATGTAGTGATCAAACTCTGTAGCTCTTAGTCCACTTTTCATGTAGAACTGGGTGAAATAGACTGCAATTTTCATGTTAGGAGGCGCTTCCACAATCCATTGGCAGTTGATGGGTACTGGGTAAGGTTTAGGGAAGTTTGGTGTAGAAATGGTACCATTTCCTATGATAGTATGAAAACCACAGTCGGGAAAAGCTAAAAGGATGCCTGGCAGTAGCAGTAATCGCAATGAAGGCAACAAAATGTAACATTCTGCTCTTTTGATCATTTAAGTGATGTATGTCCTGGATGTATTATGCGAAAATTCTAGTTGAGGTTAATCTGAAATATAAAGAAGGAAATCAGGTTTTCAGATAAATATACAAGTATAAACAAACAATTCAGTAGAAACATTTCTTCATCGGAAATATGTACCTTTTAATACTATTCAGTAACCCCTTCGCGTACTTTAACGAGCCTGCCTCGTGATGAAGATTTTGTCCCAAACATAAACATCACGAGCCAGGCTCGTGAACAGAAAGCCAGGCTCGTGAACAGAAAGCCGGGCCAAACTTAAACATCACGAGCCAGGCTCGTGAAAAGAAAGCTGAGTCAAACATAAAACATCATGAGCCGGGCTCGTGAATATTAACATTGTAATTTCACGGTCGTAATCGAACGTTAGTTCCTATCAGTACACCACAAGAGTTAGTCACGATTCTTTATTATATAGATTATGTAATATTTATAATATAATATTTATTTAAATTATATATTAAAAAATATAATATATTTATAATATCTGCAAAAGGCAGAAGGATTACTTTCACTAAGGATTAAAGCTTGCTTACTTGAAGTGCTCTTTATTTATGAAATATAATTTTGAAACTGTTATTTATTGCAAAATATAATATATTTATAATATATACGAAAGGCAGAAGGATTAAAGTTTACTTCCACGCCAGCAGTATCGTACAATACTGACACAGGCATTTACGTTTCGGCTCGTATTGTGACTCTTCTCAAGCTTCCTTTCGTATTATGACAACTCAAAGCTTCCTTTCAAAAATGAGTGTAAGTTCAATCATTTAAATCAAATATGAATAAAGATTATAAGCTTGTCTAGAACTCGATGGAAGTTCATGCACACACGTACCAAAACAGGATATAACCTCGATCTAGAACATTCACGGCAAGACCAGCATTGGCGTTGCTAACGAATTTAGCTTTAATACGCAAAGAAGAGGACAGAAAGCCAAACTCTAACACTTCGATTCTTAAATCTCCAAACTTTGTAATAAAACTGTTTGTTTACAAATCTGCATAAATTCTCGAACGAATTAACCTCGTTGCGAAAAGGGGCAGAGAGGAAAGAAGTTAATTAAATAACACTGCTTTAACAAAACTTAAATCATAAATGCCGCAAGGTGAACTATTAATATAATTTGTTTCAGTTCATCTGATTCCTCTGTTATCACTATATTCCCTTAATGATTAGAAAACTTAATTATGACTAAAGTTTACATACGTAAATTTGCATTTATCAGACATGCACTTCCTTATGAACTTATGTTCCTTAAATTCAATTAAATAAAACATACTTTTAGTAAAATTATTTAACTAGGTTGTTAATACGACAGAGCATAAAATAGGTTCCCTCTACCTCGGTTTTCACAAAGAACACACGCTGTTTGAATACTAAAAGAAAGATGAACTTAAGATTTCTAAATTAGCTTTACATTGCTATAAACGTTTAATAATATAAATGCTCGATAAAAGAAAGTGTTTTAATTATTTGCTTAATTAAAACCAATATAAATTTAAAATTAATAAAGAAATTGAAGCTGCAACATTAAAGCTGCTTTTGTGATAACCTAAGTAAAGTATCAACCAGAAAAATAAAATCGTGATAAAATTCATTTGTTATCATTACTCTATATAATCGTGTTATCAGCGTAAAATTTCGTTAAACAAAAGACATTATTTTGTTCAGGGTAGAAAATCTTGAATATTATAAGACGTTAAAGGCAATAATGCTTTCTGCCCACACGAAAAAGTTATGTATTTAAGAGTACTAATAAAGATTTTATCTAATTCCAAAAACGAAACTCAAAACTAAATCCAGTAAAAGACTAGGATATCTAACCCAGAAATTCTAAATCTTGTTTCGTAATTGAGAGTGATTAATTAATGGAAATGTATAGAATCCTTACGATATCGCCAGATTTTGTATTCAGAGTTACGAAATGTCCAAAACAATTTTTTTTTCATTGAAAATATAAGTTGTTCGAATTATTTACATAGAGTTTAAATAGCAACAGCTATCAGGAAAAGACAAAATCGTAACAGCATGACGTAAATATTGTAAATTTGAAGCTGCCCAGGACACTGCGTTTGCTTATGTGAGAGCATAATGGTAAAAAATGTCTGAAATATTAATAAGTCAATAACAAAGTGAAAATGTATATAAAAATAGTATTATGATAATAACATTTGACATAAGAGATAGAGGGTATGGAAGGAAAATAAGAAATGTGAATACATAGTGCAAAAATGAATAAACATATACAGAATTATGTACTTTTTTTACTATATGAGTAAAAGAGTTGAAGAGGAGTGTGCCAGTGTACTCATATAACTCTGGGAAACGTAGGTTATGGTCGTATTTGGAGCAGGCTGTATGAGTTTAAATTGAGACAATTTTCTTACTTGCAGTTAAATGTTTAAATGTGAAGTAGTCAGCTGTTCTTCGCCACCGCGTAATAAAAGCTCCATGTTGTATGGATGTGGTGGAAGTAAGCAGAGAACAGGTAGTTTCTGGAGAAGTGAATCATTGACAAGCAGTTCTGTTGCCACCAAAGTTGATTCGTAGATCTGTTGCCGCCAACGTTCTGCACATGATGACTGTGAGCCATTTCGTTTACTCCTTAAGATCTGATGCCGAAGAGAAAGTCTCTTCTCTACGAATATTGTTTACTGCTTATTTTGCCAGCTTATCAACCAATAATATATATTAATTATTGGAATATTTAAATATTGTAGCATCTTGGAGCGTACGGTTAAGCACTATTTAGGAATGCATTGTAACTGTTGTAAGTTGCATTCTTGGTATTGCAACAACATTTTTAAGTTGTATTCTTTCAAAACAGAAATATTTTCCAACCGTACCAGTCAGAGAAGTTTTTCCTTCTTTATTACAAACAAATAATCGTTAGTCCACTTCTTTTGGAAGTACGACTTTCAGCGTCTACATTGCTCTTCTTTGATGAAGACATCTTTGTTAGTGTTCGACACCAAATTCACAAATATATGAAATTCAGGTTGACATAGCGTGGAATAGGGCCATCTCCTGCCTGAGAGGAAGGAGCATTGTTACTATTGTGAATTTCATTGCCAGACATAGAGTCTTCCAATAGATCACTTCTGCTATAAATGCTTTGATTATGTGCATTAAATATTCGGTTATGTGCATTAAAGTCGTAGGGTTCTGATATTTATAGAAGCTTAATTTAAAGTCAACGGACCTTATAAGACTGAAAAGGGAATAATCGCTTCATTCTGAAGCAATGCAACATCGCAAGAAGGTTAAAATAATCATTATATTTTATACTTTAGTTTAAACCGAAAACATTTCTTCAGATGCAGATGCCTCAAGTAATTCTCAAGTAATTCCATTTAATTTCTTCAAGTAGCGAAATATTTATTTTGATCATTCCTGAATCCATTTGAACGATTCTTTTTGCGTGACATTCGTACGCACTCGCAAAATAAATCAATCTTTTTTTTTTTCAAAAACGGATTGTAAAATAGGTTCAAAATGAGTTCTCCTTTCATGTTGTATGTACGTATATATGTAGGTATATATCTCGCATAACTAAGAAACGATTAACCGAAGAACGTTGGAATTTTGTATATGGGACCACTACAATATATACTTGTGCATCTCCCTTTTTCATTGCAATCGACAATACCAAACGTGTTTGTGTGTATGTGTGTGTGTATGCGTGTGTATGTATATTTTGTTAATCATTTTGTTTACGCATGATTATCAGTAAGGCTCATGGTATAGGGATGCCCAAAATCCAGACAGACTCTAAGATTCAACTCTAAGATGGTTCTCGGAGAGGAAAGCGAGCGCTCTCTCAAGATCATCCCAGATATGCTCTATAGGGTTAAGAACAGGAGATCTGGCTAGATAATCCATGCGGCGAATATCTCACTTTCCAGGTAATCTTCGATCGACTGAGTCCTATGTGGACGAGCGTATTCGCTCATTAAAAGGAAACCATGATTAAAAGCGCATTTGAAAGGTCCAACATAGGACAGTTTGTGTCTCATAACAGTCAATGAGACTTTACCAAATACATGCTGGTATGTGCGGCTGTCCAGCATCAGGTCTGCCCAAAGCATTACACGGTGAGAAGATAAGATAAATCTTGGCTGCCCTGCTCCGTGAACTAAGCACATTACAGGTGCACTCACCCCTTTGGGCATTTCGTGGAGGTTCAACCTCCACTATTACCCTTCCAAGGAAGCGGCGCACCACCTGGAAGAAGGAGGTGCGCCTCACCACTGTGCGAAGGATGGTATCGTCTTCCAGGCTCTCTCCAGATTCAGTTCGCCATGAATCGTACTCCAAGAATACGGTACGCCAAGAATACAAGTACTACAAGAATCGGTGTCCAGTCTCAATCTCGATTCATTGTAAAAAACACGGTTCCGCACTAAAGTCTGGTCCAAGACGCATGTTGTCTGCATCATGCTGAACACGCTCTCTTTTGTGCTACAGTGAGCGGACTCTGACAGCAGATCTTCTGGGATACAACTTTAACTCATGAAGATTTCAGGCAACTGTAGATCGTGAAACTCGGGTTTCAGTGATAGGATAGAGCACGCGAGAGCTATGAAAATGTAGTAGCCCAGTGTAGTTGCTCTTAAAGTGCCAAACAACAATATTCATACGCAGTTATGGATCTTGGTCGACCTTCTGTAAGTCTTCTCGATATGGATCGAGAAGACTAAAACTGTTTCCGAAAATTGCAGACGACACTGGGCGTTACAATGAGCTCTGTTACCACCCGAGCTTTTGAATGGCCTTCCTCTAATCTACCATTAATTTCCCATCTTATCCCATCATCCATACGTTCGTAACTCTTTTTACCTGATTTATAAAAAATAGTTTATAAAATTTTATAAACTAATTGAGACTAAACAAGAGTTGGGTAAAACAAAATTTACCCAACTCTTGCAAGAAACACGGCGAATGTTGTGATGGGGTAAAAGCAGCCAAATCGCCAAAAACACCTCGTGTACTGGCATCCCCTTCACGATCACAGGTCTGT